CAGTTTGTTGTTAGCAGCCTTTTCAACAACCCTTTCAGACTGAGTAAATATTGATCGGTTTGAATCTGATTGCCCCAGAGGAAAACACCAGGGCATCTGAATAGCCTCCAAAAGTAAACTTTCAAAGGTGAAGCCCAGAGCAGACCTCAGAGCTGGCAACACGATCTCAACACAGCCTAGTTTGGGAACTCCCAGAATTTCGGAGATACTTTGAGTGAATGTGAGCGGAGAGAGGGAAAAACACTTGAAAACTGAGATTTTATTTGGTGTCTATCCCAAGTCCCTAATTGAGACGCTTGTGCTTTTAAAATCTAACAATAAAACGTTATTTTCTGCTTTTCCTCTTTTGTCACTTCAGTCACCATTGCTGTCATTTTTCAAGGTGCTAACCGTGCTCCTCAGAGACCAAAACAGAAGAAGAGAGACCTTGAAATAGGCTGTGTTAAGCGCCTTTGATTTAATCGATTGGGACAACTACAAAGATACAAATGTTTTTCTTGTTGAAAGGTATATTAATGTTTCCTAAATGCATTGCTTATTAACTGATTTATTCCACGACCTAGAGAAGGCTTGGGATGTTTAGCCATAATTTATCGTTCTCTCTCTCTCTCTCTCTCTCTCTCTCTCTCTCTCTCTCTCAGCTACATTAAAACCAGCACCTTGAAGATTGGAATCTCCGGGATTCCAGCAGCTCAGGCCCTGCTTTTAGATATTGAGATTTCAGCAGTGGCATGCAAATGACACTTTAACACATTAAAGTATTTGGAATCCAGCCATCTGTTTTGCTGTGTGGTCTTACACTAATAAACAAAAGATACTGTATAAGGCCAAGCCGGGGAAATGAAAGAAAGAGTTGCCCCACTTTGAAGTTCTCCCCCATCCACTTCAGTCTTTCAGAAGCAAACTCAGAGCCTGGGAGCTGAGGGGAGGGCACCAGGCGCCCTTGATATGGCCGCAGCCACTGTGCCTGCAAAATCCAGGCTTTCCCCTTTGACAAGGAGGTACAAGAAATCTCATTGTGACTCTAGGAGGTCTGTGAATGTTAAGTTTTTGTAGGATTTCCTCCCACCAGAACACCAGCCCATCCTTTGCAAAACACCCTTTGGAGAGGAAGGAAGTTATACGTCTGTATTTGTTTGTGATGCTGTAAAATTCCTGTTCTAACCTTGGGGCTAAATGAAACCCTCTAAAAAATGTGAAAGTACAGGAAAAGTGGTCAGCAGTCTAGCAGGGCCCCTTGGAACTCTGATTCACCGGCTTCCTCTGTTGCAGAAACACATGCCTTGGTCAGAGGCAACTTGAATACTGAAAGACTTCAGAGCAGCTTCCACAAGTTCACCTGGAAAAACCTGTTGAGCCCAGAGAAGAAAATCAACACTGTATTCCAGGGTCATGTGGCATGGGATTGAGAACTGAAGACCCACTGCAGCCACGATGGTTACGAAATCAAAGCTAAATCGGATGTAAATGAGATGTGTAACCTGGAGACCATGGGGGTGTGCAGAGGATGGCAGGAAGGGATAGACACTGGAAGGAGGAATGGGAGGAGGGATGCAAGGGTTTACTGAAAACAGACCACACTCAATTCAAAGGATGGATAATATTGGAACACTGACCATCCAAAAAGAAGAAAGAAGGGTGGGGTGGAGTCCCGGTCTTCAAACAGCTTTATACTGGAGCTAATTAAACGTGAATCTCTTAGCTCTTGGTTCACTGATGTGAGGAAAGACTGACTGAAGAGTTTCGGCTTTTGAAGGGGGTTCTGTTTATATATACATCAACATTCAGTTGGAGGTGAAAAGGTTAGCACTTGACCCAGGAAGTCCCCATGTTTGTTTCAAAAATAGATCTCCTTCATAAATTTCTTCACCACAGTTTCCATCATGAACTTTCATTATAATAAAGGAACTGTTATTGTTTTAAAGGAAGTCAACCTATTTTAGACACTGATTAGGTGCAATTATACTCATAAGGGAAGCTTCAACTACCTAGTGGAGAGCACTTTTTTTTCCCCAGAAAAGTCCCACCTCTTTGAAAACGCACACTGCCCTTCCTCCTTTCCCCACATGAAATGACCCAACTTTGTAGGAACCAACAAACTGTCGCCAGGCCAAATACATGGATCTTTAAGCATATCTGAAACTTGAATATATTTATTACAGACATCTTAAGACCCGTAAACTCTGCTCTGGATCACAGCACTCCAGGATCCCAGAGCTGTTCATGATTGTACAGGAGGTGGGGGATATCATAGGCTCACAAAGGATAACTGATAGAACTCAGTGTGCTACTTCGGGAACATCAAAACATTGTGCGACATGCAAAAGACGATTCACGAATCACACAAAATATACATTCATTGTGCCATCCATCACATTAACAATTGAGCTGAAAATACATCACATTCAGCTAAGATAACTCTGGAAGGAAGAAGCTGGTCTGAATAATACCTTTAGGTTCCGAGTAATCCAGGACAAAGTTTAAACAGAGTGTGGCCAGAGAAACAAGAAAGGGGTGGGGATGGGAAGAGACAAGCACAGGAAGCAAGGTTTTCTGAACCTTGTGGTCTGCAGACCTTCTTAACTCACTAAAAGAACAAATTGAAGCTACCCTCCGAGGCATCCTATTCAGTTTAAATGAGGGTTTTGATTTTTTTTAACCTGTAATCATATAAAATTGTACCAGCTTTGAGAGTTTGCCCACCCTGTCTCAGTCACTAAATCCAAACATTTCTAGAAAATCTGTATAAAGATAAATCTCTCAGGACAAAGTATTTACAACCAGCAAACTCACACACGAAACTGAATTAAATTAAAGGCGAAATAAAGGTGTAAACACTTTCATAGTGCATCTCTTCTTCATGAGCTCCTGACCACTCTCCTTTCTCTCCACCCTACTTGGAGGGCAAAGTAGGGGAGAATTGCAAATTTACAGATAGATAAAAGATGTGAGGCTTCCCTTTGACATGTTTCTGCTGGCAGAGGAGACTATTTTCCAAAGGGCATCCGACAGGAACAGTAGGTTCTGCGGAAATCTCCTAAGAGTGGGGGTTGTCAGAAAATCAGCGCTGGCACCCAGTCTTCATTAAGGAGTTAACAGCTCTCCTTCCCACCCCACCCCAATCAAACATCTAGTCCAGAATTCTCTGGAAAGATGTCATCCTGCCCAGGAGCTCTCCAGATAGGATCAGAAAGACAGACATTGCAAAAGGAAAGGGAGATAAGCTAAGAATGTGCTTTGGGTAAGAAGTCCCAGCCTGAGGAGTAGCCTAGGCTGCGGAGCCCGGGGCTGAGCCGGCCTCAGTGGGAGGTAGTCAGCGTGTCTGAGGTAGAAGACCCCGGGGAAGGAACGCAGGGCGAGGAGCTGGACTTCTCTGAGGATTCTTCGGCCTTCTCCTCGCTTCCCGGTGGGGTGGCAGGAGAGATGGGCAAGAGGCCCTCCTTTTCTCGTTTCTTCTGTTTCATTCGACGGTTCTGGAACCAGATCTTCACCTGGGTCTCATTGAGCTGCAAGGACGCGGCGATCTCCACCCTGCGGGCGCGCGTCAGGTACTTGTTGAAGTGGAATTCCTTCTCCAGCTCCGTGAGCTGCTTGGTGGTGAAGTTGGTGCGCACCGCATTGGGCTGACCGACGTAGCCGTACTCTCCAACTTTTCCTGGGGCAGGGTGGGAAGCGAAGGGAGAAAAAGGTAAAATGTTAACAGTCGATATGAGATCCTCTACAGGTTCAGAACAATATTCAGATAAAGAGGAGATGAAGAATTTCTCAAACTGGGCTGGGAAAGGTGAGTGATGAGGTGCCAAGTGTTCATCTGAAGTCAGCAATTAGCGTGGTCTGTCCGGTGATTAATGGAGCCTAGAGATATTACTAGAATTCCCCGAAGTACACACACCTACCCACTTCCTACTTCCAGAATCTCTAAAACTCAGCCCCTTTGGAAGCGCAACAGTCCCAGACGCTCCTTTGCCCCAACACACCTGGGCAATCCCCCAACGCCCCATAACACCGGTGGAAGCGAGAACTTTTTAAAAATATAGATATTAATTTGCCTTAGAAACTAAGCATACCAACTCCTTCCAGAACCATCAGGGAGCACCCACGGAATGGCAAGACTGACCTGTTTTGGGGGGGTTTCTTTTGACTTTCATCCAGTCGAAGGTCTGCGCTGGAGAAGAAGTTTCTGATGTAGGGGAGCGACAGGCTTCTTGGTGGCTGGCGTGGAGAGGGGACAAGGAGTTATTATACGTGGCCAGGGCCAGGTTCTGATGCTCTTGTCCATATGAGTGGTGAATGTACTGAGGCGATCCCACCGCGCCCCCGGCATAACCCTGGTGGTGGTGGTGATGTTGGACCATGGGAGATGAGAGATTTCCAGAGTAAACAGCGGGAGCGCACGAGGGGTACCCACCACTTACTTCTGCTTCCTGATTTAACGCGTAAGGGCTGTAAGGCGCGCCGAAGTTCTGCGCGCCGTAGCTTGGACCACAACTCGAGTGGGAGTAGGATACCCCCAGGTTGCCAGGAGTCTGGTAGGTGGCCGGCTGGGAGTGGTGATGGTGGTGGTGGTGGTGGTGGTGGTGGGGCGAGCTGATCTGCACCCCCCTGCCTACTAGGAAGCGGTCGTCGCCGCCACAGCTGTTGGCACTGACCGCGCACGACTGGAAAGTTGTAATTCCATGGTCGGAGGGATAGGCTCGCGCAGAGCAGGTCCCCGAGTCGCCACCGCTGAGGATGGGGTATTCCAGGAAGGAGCTCATTCTTGCATTGTCCATCTGTCACTGAGTGACTGGGTCCTGAGAAGCCCTGGGTGACCGTGCCAACTTTCTCACTTCCTCCATGGGGCCGGAGAAGAAAAATGATATGAATGTACAGTGCGCAGGAGGGGGGGCGCGAGGGCGGAGGGCGCTACAGCAGGCACGTGACTGTGGCAGCCAATGGCGGAGCCTCCTGCGAAAGTTTGCTGGCTCCCGCAGTGATGGATCACCGTTTCAGTGGCATTTAAATCCCAGGCGCTCCTCAGTCTAGGTGATGCGCAGTCGCCCCCCCAGGCGGCCCAGGCGGCGGCAGCAGCTGCGGTGACTGCAAGGGCAGATTCGGAGCGCTGGGGCGAAGGGGAGCGCAGCCCGCCTTCTGAGCGCGCCGACTCCGCTCGCCCCCCTCCCTCCGGGAGGTGGGGGCTGGGAGGCATCTCCCCCACCCCCGTCTCCGCCCTCTTCCCCACCGCACAGGAAAGATGAACCGAGGAGAGGTGAGAAGGGAAGAGGGTTCCGCGCTCTTTTGGGTGGGGAATCCGTGGGCCAGAGCTCGGGTCGCGCCGGGCTGGAAGGGTAGGAACCCAGCCGGCGTCGCTGCCCAAGCTCCCCGGGAGCTTTCCCTGCAGTCCCTGCTGCGGTCCCTTGGGGCCGTGAGCGGCGCGGAGCGCGGTGGCGTAGAACGAGATTGGGCCTCCAGCTCTCCAGGCTCCAGTGGATAATAAAGCCCGCAGATGGCTGACTAAGAGGAACCCGGGTGGGCGTGGAGAAGAAGTGGGCAAGAAAAGAAACTTTCTTTCTCCACGGAGGTCTTGAAAGCCCCCTACCTCCACCCTTCCCCCCGCCCCCCCCGCACACACACACACACACACACACTGTTAGTATGGCAATGAGAAGCTCTTGTAATTCGATGCCTGATAGCCGGGTGAGCCCAGGGGGCTGAGCCTGCCGGAAAAGGCCGGGGCTGGCCGGGTTCATTGCCCTCCCTCTCTGCTCGCTCTCCGCCCCTTTCTCCTCCCCACTCAGCTTTGCTCTGGGAGTCTGACGAGAAGCGGAGCTGCTGGGCCGCTGGATTTTGAGGGGTAGGGGGCGGGGGAGAGAGATGACGCTGGAGGACGTGGCCAGCGTGGGGGCCGGGCCCTGCTCTGCAGGCCATCTGCCGGCTCCGCCGGACCCAGGAGCCTGTGCGGTCTGGCGGGGATCTCAAAGGGCGAGACCACAGCTCCCACGAAGTACGCTGTCTCCCCTCCCCCAGCCCCTGCAACGTTTCTGGTTTTCTTAGGGAAGAATGTCAAGAGTTGGTTGAACTTCCTTTTATACACACACACCCCCATTCTACTGCACATCTGAAGCGGGGGTGTGGGCTGGTAGGTGGGGGGCGGTGGCCGGTGGACAGATGGCTGATGGTGGAGGGAACGTTTTCTTCCCCAACAACACCTCCTCTTCTTTGTAACTGTGTAGTTCCTTGTGTGAACCTTCGAGTGTTTCCCTAGAGAGACACGTTCAAATCTGAGCGTCACCCCAGGCCAGGGGTCCTGTTCTCCATCACCTTCCTACCACCCTGATGCTGAGGGGCCATTAATTGCTATTTACTATTAGGTTTCTTGTCAACCTTTGGCTTGTAAAGAAAAAAGGCCAAGCAGAGGCCCAGGCCCAGAGTTGATGCATTCTTAGGTAAAAGAAATCCAGAGATCATCCAGGAAGCTTTGCAGCCAATGATGTATAGATTTTACACTGACCATGTTTACTCATCTGGATCCGACAGATGAAATTTATCTGAGGGTTGTATGTGGATTTGGGGATCACATGCCCCTGTAGTTTTCCCTTCCCAGTTGGAAGAAGGAAGTTTTGCTTAAGGCAAGCAAGCACATTTCAAGGGTGTTAGTGAACCTTTCAGATTTCTGTGTTCTGTTCTTCACATATAGGAGTTCCTCCAAAACCTGCCCCCCACCCAGGGAAAACTTGGCAGGAATTTGTTTATGGACTCCCTTCAGTAGCAAAAAGCCAGTTTCCCTAAACATTTTCTTTTGAAAAGGTATTTTATATGACCTTTGACCTATCCCCCATCACGTTTAAGAGGGAACACAGGCAGGAAAAGTCGTTCCTGCCCCGCTTCAGCACCTGGGGAACTTCATCCTGGAGAAGGGAACAGGCGTGGTGGCCCTCCTGGAGGCGGCTTCCATGGGAGCGCCCAGGCCTCCAGCACTGGGGAGAGACGGGGCTCCTGTAGGGGAGGAGGCGGGACGTGAGGGAGTCAGTGCTGACCGTGCGGACGATCTGCCCTCCGAACCTAAGCTCGTCGGTACGTTCTCCCTCTTGGCCTCATTCCTGGCCCTTTCCTGCCCTCCCAGGCGCTGGTTTACGTGACCCCCTTGGCCACAACTGCTCTCCTTCTTCTGATACTTCGCCTCTGCGCTCCTCTCGTACTCTCTTCCTCCCCGCACAGCTCTTTTCAGGGCCAGGAGGGGTGGGTGCACTTCTTGGAATCATAGGCTTGCTTGCACCCGGGCTCAGCGACCCACTCTGCCGCCGCGCACTGCTCTCCGCGGGCCGGCCTCTGGCAGCCGCGCGGGCTCCGCCCCGGCTGGCCGCCCTGAGCGCGGATCTCCCAGCGCGGTGCACAAAGACGGCCTCCCTGGCCTCGGGCCCGCAGGCTTCCGTAGCTCGGGTCCTTCCCCACCCCCACGAAGTCCTGGGGCTCATTCTACCTTGCTGCAGACCCTCCGTCCTGCCGGCAAGTAGGCCAGCGCCCCACGGCTCGAGCTCAAGTACCTTTAAAGCCCGGGGAGAGTGTGTGCAAGGGGAGTTTGGTCACTATTTAAATGATCGTCTGCGAGCAGCTTGCACGGCTCCGAGCGCCTCTTTCAGGGCTTTTCGACTGGAAAGGGAAGGAGCGAGCAGCAGACCAAACGCCGCCGAGGCCGCGAGCTGTTCCTGGCATCCGCGGCTCAGCCAAGCTGTTGTTTTAAAAGAGCAATAAAAATGAATTATGACTAAACGCCTTCTAACTTAATGCTTTCGGACGGGGATCCCCGGCAAATACGTAAGAGGATTTTTATTTGTGCATGTGTTCCTGCAATTGATCTCTTTGATGACATTCTCATTCATAGAAAGCGTTTGATTTATGAGCGTAGGACGAATCGCAAACAGCAGCGGCTCAGCCCCGGCCTTTGCCCGGCCGCCCTGATCCGCGCTGAGCCCGGGGCAGGAGACCAGCCCAGGGTCCTCACGCGCCTCCGCCGCTACCGGGGTTTAGGGGGCAAAGGTGTGGGGGAAGGAAGAGAGCAAAACCTTGGAGAAAGATCCCGGTTTCGGTATAACTTCCAAGCCTGTGCTATTAAGAGCAGGGTTCTTAAATCAACCCGCCCCCAACACATGTTGCTTACACGCTGCGTTTTCTCACGGTAAGTAGCCACCAGAACAGAGCTCAGGAAGGGAAAAGTAAGCATGGGGAGACATAAGAAGGGGGCAAGAACCAGAACAACCCAGTAACACACCCTAGATCACATTTTATTGACATTTCATTTAAAGTGCTTTGTCGCTTTCTTTTTCTAGAAACTGGTTAATTTATAACTTAGGGTGCAGAAACACTTCATTTTAAATCTCAGCTTGCTAACCTGGCTTCAAAGTTTTAATGCTCCATTATTTGCCATGTAAACAGATTTAAGAATGAAATATTGATTTTTCTGACGGGGGGGGGGCAGGGAAGAATCCTAGAATGACTGAACCAGAGGATTGGAAAGATTTCTTTCTGAAGTGTATTTTCCAGCCAGTGACCATCGTTTTCTTTTCTTTTTATTTTTCTCTGTCTTTTAGGTTTATTTGCCTGGACCCATCAGCAGCTGGGAGTCTCTAATCAACAACACTGAAAATGTTCGGGATTTGTGGGGGAGGAGTTGGAATGTAGATGTTTGAAACAAATGTGTATAAATAAATGAATTGTTTGTAACTTAGTTATTGACCTGGAGACTGGCAGCTTGTTAAAGAAACTCCGTGTTTCTGGAGCCGGGTGTTTCTGTAGGCACTTTATTTCTCCACTTTCAGAAGGTTGGGCTTGGCCCAACACAGGCTGACCCATCCTCTTTCTCTTACCATTTCAAACCCATAGCTTGAACCTCTACCCTGAAAAACCAAATTCATTCCCTTAAAAAAAAAAGATCACTTCTCAGACACCCTAACCTTTTTCTGGCTTTCCTTTTTGTTGCTGCCTATTGAAGAGTTGGATCGTACCCCCTTAATAAATATATTAAAATTGAAAAAGAAGATGAATTGTGACCAGAATTTTATTTACCAAGTTAGACTAAAAGAAGAAAAAGAAACCGTTAGGAGCTTGGAGAAAGAGGGGGAGAAAAAATAAGAAAGCTACTTATAGCAAAGGAGAATTTATTCTACCAAAAATACGCATGACAATGCATCCTAATGTAATACAAAAATAAAAAGAAAGTGAAGATACAATTATATGATCACTTTCTTGCAGGCCTCATATATTGCTTTCAGTAAATCACATAGAGGGTTGTTGGATTAGATTTAAAACAACTGAAACTCCAAAATAATCTGTAAAAGACGCCTCTGAAAGTGGGTCAGGGGAATCACTAAACAGAAAATCTCCAACATTTAGAGGAGGGAGAGGGTAGGGCAAGAAAAAAATAAAATAAAAATCAACTCTCAGAATAAAAGAAGGCCAAACCACCTGGTCAAAGGGGTTTTGTTTTGTGATGCTTTGTTTTTGCTTTAATGTTTTTAGTAATTCAGATGCTGCAAGTCGATTGTGGTGAGTGTGTCTGTAAAAAAGTCAAAGCTGTCAGCTGAAATATCTACAGGGCTGTCCAGGGAGCCTGGCAAACTGGGGGAGACCGCGTCTGAGAGCTGCAGGCAGGAATCTGTGGAAAAGACGTTAAAGTCCTGCAAGGAGGGGACCTCCAGGGCCTCGGGACTGTCATTGTTTAGGCCAGAGCCACAGTTCTGGCCCATTGTTGACAAGCAGTTAGGAACAGTGGGTGACTGGTGCTGAAAATGTTTCAGATTTTTCTCATTGCTGGTTAAAGGCGACACTGGGAAACTTTGGGAGTCGCCATTGTGTCCATTGGGCGCCTGCTGCTGAGAGAGGGCATTCTGCTGAAAAGTGTAACCTTCCCTCTCCAGAAGGGCCCCAGAGACGCTGAGGGCTTGCTCGAAGAGGGACTTCTCTTCCTCGTCCTCCTCCACTTTCTCGGAGTCTTCCAGGCTTTTAAATTTCCCTTCGCTGTTTTGGTTCTCCTTGCACTGGGTCTGCCTCTTGTGCTTCATCCTCCGGTTCTGAAACCACACTTTCACTTGTCTCTCAGTCAAATCCAGCAGCGCCGCTATTTCCACCCTCCGGGGTCTGCAAAGGTACTTGTTGAAATGGAATTCTTTCTCCAGCTCTAAAAGCTGCGTGTTGGTGTAAGCAGTCCTCAGGCGCCGCGAGCCCCCTCCGCTGCCATCCGCGATTTCCAGGGATTCTGCGGAAAGGGAAACCAAGAAGAGACACACTCACAGTTGGAGGTGGAGGGGTCCGGAGAGGGGTGATGGCACCAGAGAATAAATGCAGCAGAAAAGAGCAACGGCGACAAGATGGCCGCCCCTGGATGCGGGAGGGCTATTGTGCCGCCCTTCCTGGGCGCCCAGCCCGGGGAGACCCCATCTCGTCCACCTCCGTCCGACTCCTGCCTGCAGCTCCCCCCAACCTCTGCATCCGGGAGCAAACTTTATATTACCCACACCACAATTTATAATTAATGCATCAGCTGCTTAGCTGAGCAAGAGCGATCTATCACTCTTCATTACTGTCAAAAAGCCAAACTCTAGGACAACGAGACAAGAGGAGGTCAGTTCCAACTCAAATAAATCATCCCACATTACACAAGTTAGGGAAAGTTCCTCCCCCCCTTCTTAAAAATATATGTCTCATTGTGGAGCGTAGGATGCCTTTTCTCTCCATCAAACCCACTCCTGAGCCCACAGGGGAAGGGAAGGCAGCCAAGCATCTCTCCCTCTCCGCCTTCTCTCCCAGCCCACGCTCCCCTCCCCCCCAGAACCGCTCTCGGGGCAGCCCCGAAGGGGCCCGGGGTCCCGGGACCTGGGGCCACGTCTTCGGACTGACCTTTGTGGCCGAGGCAGGCAGGGCCAGTGGTGGTGGCGGCCGAGGCGGGCGGCAGCGCGGTTTTCTTGGCCGCCTTCTTCTCCTTCATCCAGGGGTACTCGGGCGGCTGCAGGGCGCCGGCGGGCCCTGGGCTGCCGCGGCTGCCCGCGGGGCTCGGCTTGGGGCGGCCGCCAGCGCCGTGGCGAGGGTGACTGCCCGGGTTCAGGCTGGGAATGGTCTGCTCAAAAGGAGGAGGAATCAGTGTCGAGTGTGAAAGCGTCGAGGTCTTGATTGATGAACTTTGAAATGTATCAGCGACAGGGGGAAAAGATGTCAGGCACTCAGCGAGCGACGGCTGGCTATTGATAAAACCAATCTCTCGCTCAAATTCGTAATTCATGGCCTTCTCCTTGGAGCCCCCTCGGAGAAAAAGTTCCCTCTTCTGGAGGGGCTTTGGGGGGGCGAGGCCCAGGAAAAAGGCGAGTGCGGAGGGAAAAAAAAATCTATCATAGAAGATCGCTGCTGGGGTGTTTTTTTTCTAATTCACTGATTACAGCCGTATGGGGACCGCGCTACTATTAAACTATTGAATTCATGGAGACAAGGTTGAAATTGGACCGAATTGGCTGTCACATGATTGCTTCTGCCCAATGACAATTTGGGCTTTAATCAAAAGAAGCCACTGTCTGTTTGATTGATCCAAAAAAGTCGGGAAGGAACGCCTCATTGGGGGCCAGCGAGGCTTTATTTACACTTTTTTCTGGGCAAAAATACATAGATGTGGGTGTGGGTGGGGATGCCCGGCGGTGCGTGGGGGCGAGGGTGCCTGCCTGCCTTCCCGCCCGCGAGGACCTGGTGTGTGCGCTCGGCAGTGCGCGTGAGAGCGCGAGCGTGAGCCCCGCCGCCGGTCCCGCCGGAGGCTGCCCTCCGCCTCCCCCGCGCGCTCCGCGCATTGTTTGGGACTGTCGGGAAGACGCCTCGCACCTCACAAATCATTTAAGCACCTCAGTCTGACGCCTGCAGTCATTAACAAAGTAATCCATTAATCTTCAAAGTTTTGACACCCGAGGGCCCCCCATCCCAGCCACATAAGTTCCACTAAGGCAGGACGACGGAACAGAAGGAGAGGAGAGATATGAGAGAGAGAGGGGGAGAGAAAGAGAGAGAGAGAGAGAGATTCTTGGATCCCCCCCCCCTTTTTTTTTATTTTTCTCCTCCGCCTTTCCCAAAATCATTTCCTGGATCTCAGAACGGATCTCCTCTCTGTCTCTGTCTTCCTTCTGTCTGTCTTTCCCTCTTTCTCTCCCTCCTCTCTCCTCTCCCCCTCCCTCTCCTCTGTCCACTTCGCCTTCCCTCCCCACATCCGCAGGCCCTCCTCGCACCCCTCCCAGTGCCCAGCTCCCAGTCCGCTCCCCCAGCCCCGACCCGGGCCCATTGTCAGCCGGCTTTTCCACCGCAGCTTTGGCGTCTGGCTCCAGAAGGAAGCGGAAAACGGGAGGCTGCTCTGGAAGCCTCCTCCCCATCTTCCTGCGCCGTCAACTTTTCAGGAGTGGCTGGAGAGAGAGATAGATGCATGTGCCCAGCAAGACAACAAACCCAGGTCCATGTGTTCAAATCCTTGTAGCCAGGGCGGCGGCCAGCCAAAGAAATGCCGCCCCCCGGAGCAGGCGTGTGCGGCTCCTGGCATTCTGGGTTTCATACCCGTGGGGCTCGGGTGCGGTGAGTATTTCCGTTTTCCAGGAAGTCTGTTGGAAGTTAGCAGCAGGGAGGGAGAAGGCGCCTGGTTCTCTCTTTTCCTCTTCTCCCCTTCTCCTTGTCGCTCTGACTAGGGGCTTGCTGGTTCAGATGCAGTGAGGACTCCCCGGCTGCCCCCATTGTCTCCCGCACCTTCCTGCTCCTTGGCCACCAGGGATGTTTGCACTCAGGAGGTTCTGTTGTGGGAAACAGCACCGCAGGTGAGACAAGGCGACCCAAGGAGGAATTATGATGTTTCTCTTTCTCTGTTCTCTGCCTCTCTCTCTTCTCCAATTCTGAGACTTGAGACTGAGCACATCTTGGACTGTGCTGGAGGGTTCAAAAGATAACACCTTTAGATACCCAAAAATAACTTTTTGAAAAATCCACCACCAAGCTAGAAGTAAGGGAGGAGGCTGGAGGCTGAGAGAGAAATCTGAAGGTATCTCTTTCCCCCCAAAACCCTGAGGATGATAATTCCCGCTTGCTTCCTTTGAAATGGACCAAGTGATCAGACTCCCCCAGACCGGCAGGCATCGGTGGCAGGAAAATAAATCATTCTGATGGCTAGGGAGAGAGAGGTTGGCGGGAGAAAGCCCTATGCAGAAAGCAAGCAAGGCCGTGCAAGGCGCAAGGACAGGACTCCATCTCTGAAGCCGGCATCAAAGGGGGCTTGGGTTGGAAATTAAATATAAAGTGCCCTCCATCGCTGACTAGCTCGGAGCATTGCCTTACAGATAGAGATGCTATTTTGGAAAATGTGAGGTTTTTCAGTTTTCTTGCTTTTATTCCAAACAAAGCTCTGAAGGAAGTCTGGGCGCGATCAATCTTGCTCACCAAAAGCCTTGACAGCTTCTAGCCCTTGAGAACACATTTCAGCTTCGAGCTCTTTCCAAGATCAAATGTGGCCGAGCAAAGAGGAGAGCAGGAAACGCAAGTAAACAAGGAAAACTAGTCTTTTTAAAGATATTTTTTTGGCAGCAGAGAGACGTATAAGGCCGCTTTTAGGAAAGGTGCTTTGCAGACTCTGGGATGGCAGCTTTTGGCATTTGCTTTTACCAGAAAATATTGAGGGGTTGGGGGGGGCTACAGAGAGGGCGCAGCACTGCCCTCGCATCACCAAGGCTTTGTCAGGGGCTGCGTGGGTGAGAGCTTTCTGCTGCCTCAGCGGCCTTAATTCAAATACCATCTGGAAGAAAACCCTTTTCTTTCACCATTCAACACTGGAATCTTCCCCAAGTCTATTACTTTAACTCAGGGGCTATTTTAATAAGGATTTCTTTTTAATATCTAGGAAGCTGGGGGGCGAGATGGATGTTTTTGCTTTGGAAGCCAAAATGAATGTCTTGACTGGCAAGATGGGGAAAATCATATTGGAATCTCATTTTAAAACTCTGCCCTGGGGTGGGGGGTGGGGGAAGAGGAAGCCTCCAAGCCAGTCCTCCCTCCACTAAATAGTAGATTTGAGAAGTAAGTTCCGGTCGTGGAATCTCTGAAAGATATTCCTCTCTGAGTGGATCTCCCCTCCCCCCCGCACTCTTCCTTATTTTCCTAGGTAATTTCAATCTTCTGCACTTCTTTAAAATTATTACTTAAAAGAAGACTCTCGAATCTGTTGTTCAGCCTGCTTAATGTAGAGGTGAACGCCCAGAAGGGCGGAAGCTCCAGTCCTTACAAAGACTAATTGTCCAGCCTCTGTACTTTTGAGATGCGCCCCATTTCAGCAGGGAGGCTGAGTGTGTGCCACATTCAACCAAGTCCACTTCTTCCACAGCCCCAAGTCTTCAGCTGTATAGACGGAGCCCAGGACAGATGTGGGGGAAGCACCTCTGGCTGGGAGAGAAGCACCCAGATCTTTACAACTGCCTAGGTTTGCATCCTTCGATCCCTTTTCTTCTTCTTAAAACGTGTGGAGGTTTCCTAAAAGCAGCCCCTGCAGGTACCCAGAAGTGGCTCCAGTGCCTGTTTCTAAAGATCATCTGAGGGAGCTTCTTAGCAGGGAAGATAGAGTCCGTGAAGATGGGTATTTTGGATTTGCAAAACAAAATGGCGACATTTTCCACCTCTGCCCCTGACACAGAATTCAAGGGGAAAGGGGGTTTATTGGTCACAGCAGAGGTTCCTGGTCCCGGATGCAGGTAGCTCCTCACTTCCAGCTTTGAAGGAGGATGCTGATGGGGATGCAGCCCGGAGGTCTGCGCTTTCTGAATCTGGTTCCTTCTCTGAGCAGGTCTGTCCTCTGGAGATGAAAAGAGTCCCCTTCCCCGAGCCTGCCTTTGCCTCTGCCTGCCAGCCAGCCAGTCGGCCGCCCAGGAGCAGAAATGTAATATTTAGCTCCTGTAGCATCAAATGAAACAAGTACTTGCAAAATTGCATTTTTATTAAAAAGATATTAATCTCCTTTCTCTCTCCCCCTCCCCCTGGGGCCATAAAAAGAACCCGGGGAGTGCAGAAGGAGAGGAAATAAATCCAGAGAAAGCCAAATCCTAAATTCCGACAGGAAGCCGGTGCTGGGACTGCAGCAGTCGGAGGCAGGGCTCGGCCTTCCTCGCGCTGGAGCCCTGGGTGAGCCTCAGTCTCCTTCCAGCCGCCTCGCTCCTAGTGGCAATTTTAGAAGGGATTCTTGCCTCCCGGTTTGATAAAGGACCAGGCGGCATCCGCGGAGAGTCGGGTTGCTCCTGGAAAGTGTTCGGCATCCTCCGCGGGGCTGGCGGTTCCCCAGGTTAAGATGTGGGCCAGAAGGCTTTGACCGGAGGAAGATCGAGGACACGGAGACAGCCCGCTTACTCCCCGGTGGGGCCGCCCGGCACCTGTGCGCCCCCCGCCGCGCCTGGGCCGGCTGCCTTTGTTTCTCCTGCCGTCAGCTCTCCGCTCGCAGCCCCCGTGCCCGCCGCCGGCCTCCGTGGCAGCTGGGAACCAGGCAGCCCAGCGGGCTGGCCGCTCGGCGTCTCCAGAGCTGCAGCCGCCGGGAGCTCCGGCTGCCTTCCAGAGAATTCGCCGTTCTCCGGGTCCAGCCTCCCCGCCAGGCCCCAGCCGGAGCTGCGGCGCGGCTGCGGCCTGCTCCGCCAGTTCGCCTCCATTCCACGCAGACCCCCATCTTCGGTCAAAGAACCCCTTCCGAACGCGGATATTATTCAGAATAAAAACTTTATTTTTTTTTTGTTTTGTTTCTCAGAGTGTGAGCAGCAAGGAATGTAGAACTCTCAAAACAAATGTAGCAGTTTTCGCGTTTACAGATTGTTTTCTTCAGTTTCGCCGGATGTTACAAATTAAATCACCGCTTTTCGAAAGCTGGATCCTCTCTGGTATTATTGCATCGTTACCGTTTTTTATAAAGGAATTACATTTCCCTTTCAAATAAAAAATTTCCTACGTACGCCAATACACCATTGAACAAAAGGCCCAAGAAACCTTCTGAACAATCAGGGTACAGAATTTCTTTAATATAAATACGAACGGATGGGGATAAATAATATTTAAAACTTAGATTATTCAATGCTTGCAAAAAAAATATAAATAAATCTGACTGTTCACCAGCATACACACACGGAAAGACGTACACGTAGTTAACCTTGCACAGGGGGTCCCTGTCTCAAAGCGCCTTTGATTTTTTTTTCTCGCTCTTTACAAGAAGTGCAATTAAAAAACTAAAATTAAAAAAAAAAAGTAATCGCGTCCCCTCGGGAGCCATAATGTACGAACAAATTCACATTGAAGAACTCGGCTAGAAAATTTGTTCATATACCCTGTTTCTGATCAAAGAGTAGAGAAGGTAAAGGGTGCAGGGCCAGCGGCCGACGAGGGGCGGGAAGAGATAAATATCGCTACTGATACTGACAGCCATTCCAGCAACCAAGATTGCTACGTCACAAAAACTATAAAAACGCGTTACCAAAGAAAACAAAACGGGGCGAGGGGAGGGAGCAGAGGAGAGAGAGAGAAAAGGGAGGGGCCGGGAGAACCTTAAAACAAAAAAAGCAAAGGAAGAGGAGAGGGGAGGGGGGACTCTCCTGGCGCGCAGCCCCGAGCCCACCATCACAGGTGGGTGAGCTTGGGGGCTTCCTGAATTCTTCCCTGAGAAGGATGGTGGGCGGTAAGGTCCGTGTAAGTGGGGTGCGGCTCCCCCGGCCCGGGCCCGTGATGGTGGCCGCTGCCCAGCGGCCCGGCACCCCCGTAGTCCATGGCGGCCGAGGCGGCGTGAGGGAGGTGAGTTAGGCCATAGAGGGCCGGCCCAGAGTTGCTCAAGGGCTCCACATAGCTGCCCCCTACGAAGACGGGGCTTCCCTGTAAGTGTGGGGTCCCATAGCTGCCGTTGCCCTGCAGGCCATGCGCGTGCGGGTCATAGTCGGGTGTGCCCCCTGGCCCTGCCCCCGCGGCTGTGTAGCGCTTCTGTGGGGGCGGCGGCGCGCAGCTGGGCAGGGGTGCAGGATAGGAGGCAGGGGGCAGCCCGTAGGCGCCCTGGGGGGGCTTGGAGAAAGGCGGGGGCGACTGGGGCTCGTAGGGAACACTGTTGACCAGCGAATGCATAGAGTTCAGATAGCCGCCTGCGCCCGGGGGCACAGGGCTGCGACTTGGGGACTGGCCCCCTGATGACGTCAGCATGCCCTTGCCCTTCTGATCCTTCTTGTATTTCATGCGGCGGTTCTGGAACCAGATCTTGATCTGGCGCTCGGTGAGATTCAGCAGGTTGGCCATCTCCACCCGGCGTGGCCGGCACAGGTAGCGGTTGAAGTGGAATTCCTTCTCCAGCTCGACCAGCTGCGCGCTCGTGTAGGCCGTGCGCGCCCGCTTGGAGGACGCCTGCCCAGGCGGACTCTTGTCGCCCGCACAGCTCTCTCCTGCCAGGACAGAAGAGTAGAGGAAGAGTGGCGTCAGGGGCAGCTCTGCAACCCCGCCCAGTCCGACCTAACCAGGCTCCTCCTGGCTCCACACCCTAAAGAGCCCACCATTTGTCAGGGCTCAGAAAGGGCTCAGAGGAAGAACTAGGTGCTGTCCTCCGTCCTGGACAGTGCTGGGAGCTGGGTAGCTAGCCCCTCATTCAGTCAAATTGTAAATCATAGCCTTCTCCAATGGGCGGGGGGGGGGTGTAAAGGACTAGAAAGCAGAATCTCCAGTTTGGCTTCCTGGTCTGTATTTCCTTCCTGGAGCTACTCACTTTCTGACTCCTTTAGTGATCTGCAGGCCTGCCAGACTCAAGCTCTCTATGGGAGAGGAAGGTGGTCTCACCACCTTCCTTCCCTTCACAAATGAAATGTGGGCCACCTAATAATATATGTGCAATAAACCTTCCCCTCATTCACTGTCTGTCTGAAGGATTGGACAGTTGCCTTGACTGGCCACTTATTTAATCTCCTCAGTGGAGATGGGTAGAGTAGAAGCCCCAATGTGGAAGCTTTTTCTGCCCAAAGAAAGAGGTCTCATTAACAGTATCCATTTCTGGTGGGAAGGCCCAGGACCCTAATGCTGGGTCCTATTAATTAGGGTACTCCATGTCACAGAGCAGCCTGCCCCAGCTTTGCTTACTAATCTTGTGACCTCCTGTCTTCCCTGGCCTCCCAATCCTGGGTCAGGAAGGTCCTAGATTCTCAGAACAGCACTGGCAACTGGAAAAGGCAGGGGCAATAGTAATCAAGAATACTGGGAAGCCGCAAGACCCAGGGCCTATCATCCACTGGAGTCGGGTTCCAGGAAGCCCATGTGGTTCCCATTAGGATGACAAGTCTGAATCCCCTCCCCCAGGAGATCCCTGGCTGCCTTCATTGTGCTAAGTCTGAGTAGGGCCTTCCCAGTGGTAAGGCAGCCAGCCACTCCATCTGCTGGAGCAAACATTTAAAATAGGCTCTGATAATAAGCAAAGTATTGATTCTGAATTGGAGGGTGATTAGGCCTGCTTTTATTCCGCCACATTTCAGTGTGGAGTGGGTGTCACTGTTTCATTAAAAAACGAGTTGTGGTGCTAAAAAGAGAGTGGAGCTCGAGTTTGTTCTGCACAAAGGTCCTCACTGCAAAAGGGGAACACGAGGAGATTCCTAACTCACTAGGCCCCACTTGCTCTTGGAGAAGTCCAGAGAGGCTTCCATTAGGTCTCTCTCTGGGGCTTCCTGAGCACACAGAGTCCTGCCTCCTCCCTAGTTGCAAAGACTCTGGAAACCTGTGTAGGGTGGAAAGAGAAGGGACAGTGAATCCTTGGAAATATTCTGGCGCTCCAGGCCGCGCTGCCTGTGCCTGGAGGCGGCCTGGGGGACCAGGAACCAGGCCAGAGGATCCTCCTCCGGAAGGCACCTCTTTACCTGAGCTGGAGCCGCTGGTTTTCTGCTTTGTGTTCTGGCGAGACTCCTTCATCCAGGGGAAGATTTGTTTGGCCACCGTGGGTGAGTTGAGTAGGGGGCTCTTGGCCGCGCTGGCAGGGGTGGGGTTGCTGCTGGCATTCTGAGGGGGGGAGACTGAAGACGGGGGCGGGGGCACGGCAGGAGCTGGAGCAGGGGTCTGTGGTGGTGGTTGAGGCTGTTGAGGGGCAGGGGGCGCGGCCTGGGGCGGCGGTGGGGCCAGGGGCGGCTCGCCCAGGCCTGGGGGCTGGCTGGGCGGGCCGCTCAGGGTGTGCAGACAGGCGCTCAGCTCGTGCGCCTTAGGGTGGCCCCCGGCGCTGGCAGGTGACTGGAGCGAGCAGGCGGGCCGGTGGTACTCGCCCTCGGCGCCCAGGGCCGCAGACGCCGAGTACGGCTGCTGGCTGGCATTATAGGCGAACCCGTTGGCTGCCTGGTAGGGGTAGCCACCGTAGATCGCCGAGCTGTCGTAGTAGGTCGCTTTTTGCATCGCGTTGTTTCACGCTCTGGATCGCACACTCTGACAGGGGCTTGACACCCGCGAGGGCGCACATTGGCACGCCCCCGCAGTCACGTGACGCTCCGCCGCCAATGGCCGCCCGGCGCAGACCTGGGGGGCGAGAATCGCCGCGCGGTGAGGGCTCCGCGCAAATCCATCTTACTCTCAATAGCTAAGTGACATGAAAGCCATAAAAGAAAAAGTGGTCAGCAATATTTAGCAGCACGACTTGGCCCCGGGCGCAGAGAGCCGCGCTATAAAAAGCCGCTGGAATTTACTGGCGGCTACAAATATTTGCTTAACTTGCGTCTGGAGTTGGGGGGTTTTCCGGGGAGAGAGGAGACGAGCGAGTGAGGGTTGGGAGCCTGGCCTCGGGAGCTGGAGCCCCAAGGAAGAAAGGCCTGGTGGGCTAGAAAGGGGCAGGGCTGGGATCCTTCTTTTCCAGGGAAGAAGAAATTCGGGGTGTCCCTTCCTCTCTGCTCCTTGGCTTCATCCAGCAAGCCCCGCGACTCCTTCCCTGCGGAAATTGTGGGGAAGGAGCAGGGAGGCAAAGGGGAGCTTGGCTCCCCGATTTGTTTTTCCCTCCTCTCCTTGCTCTAGGACTTACATTTGCCAAAAGAGCCCTGACCTGGGGCGGGGGGGTGACGTCCTATCCAGCCCCTTCTTGGACGTTCCAGAACCAGAGAGGTATGCACGAAAAAAAATTCAGGCAACTGCCCTACTGGACCCTACTGGACGGCAGAAGCTGAGATGGTTAGGCAGTCTACCCTTGTGCAGGGACGGGACTCACCTCCCAATGAGCCCCTTGGGGCTAAGAGGGGAGAGAGAAAACTTTAGATGGAACACCCTTTGCGGGGAGGGACCACCACCAACACCCACTCCAGCAAGTCAGACTCCAACCTGGACAGCTTTTTACTCCTCTCCTTTTCCTGTTTCTCAGGCATGTCCCAGCAAGCCACTCCTACCTCTCCTCCTCTGTGACAGAAGGTCCCCAGACCCTCCTGCCTTGGACTTTCTGAGGTGCTGTTATTCAGAGCAACTATCAAATTCTACCTGTTAAAACATGATGGATTAGAGAAAAAAACAACCCACCAGGAACCTGAAAAACCAGCGTTCATCTCCATGACCACGGCGTGAACTCTCCTTCCAACTTAACGATAATAGGTTCTGTCTTAGAAACTGCTATGTAATTTGATGTATGGGGGTCATTTGGCTCCGGACAAGGGATGGAAGCACAAGCCATAAAATCCTGCCAGAGTTCCCTGATCTTTGTGTGCTGCTGCTGCTGCTGCTGCTGTTGATATTTGTTACTTGGCCTATTTACCTGCTTCAGAAACACCAAGTAAAGGGCAACCCTAGAAGTCTAAAAAGCAATCAAAAGCCTTCTCAACTATTTTTTATTTAGAAAGCACTTTGCAGAAATAAAATCTGTTTCTTTTTTTTTTTTCAACCTTTGCATGGTCAACCACTGGTTCTGCTCAGAAAAGTTCCACGTGAGTTCATATATTCACACTCACACTCTGACACAGTCACAATGTTTCTCTCTGACCACTTAAGGAAACTGCAGTGACAAATATGTGAAGAAAATGGTTTACACGTCACACCCCAACTGTGTGGATTCGAGTCCTGGAGTTATTCAAGTTTTCCAGGAATAGCAGGCACTTTGTTAACTAGAAAAAAATAATGTAATAAGCTTGTACCAACAGATGATTACACTGTAATTTTGTCTTTAATAATGTACTCCTTTGGATTTCATTATTAAACCAACGATCTGACCAACATCTGCAAAATAGGCACAATTAATTTTCCAGGACCTCAATTAAAAAATTACAGCATGCGATACCCAGAGTGATTGTGTGTGATCCGGAGCCCCATGGTATTGTTTCTCTTTCGGAAATAGATGGAAAGTTACAGATACCATTACCAAAAATAAATACATGGTCAAATAAAACTTAAAACTGCATAGCACTTTAATGTCTGTTTCCCGTTCTTTCCCTGAAAACAGTTCCTATTGCATTTGGCAGTGTTAATGTCTGCCATTATAAATTTGTAAGATACTAGGCCTGTGTAAAATAAAATGCCAGGTTAAGAAAACTACTCCAGACCCTCGAACAGCAAGATATTAGATAAAACAAAATTAAGTTATTTTTGAACGTGCACTCTTTCAAGCGACTTGCTAATCCATTACCACAAGCTACATCACCTGCCTTTCACCCACGTCTTCTCATCAAGTTGTGCATTGTCTTGTAAAATAACAAAAATACCTTCAAAAATCAAAGAGCAAACGACAACTCCCATAAACTTAAAATACGGATTCACCTCCGAGGTCCCACCAGAGCGCTTCCTATTGTTGGAGGTCAGCAAATAACCACCTTGGGGCCCACAGGGTCCACCCCTCAGCTCAGCCCCCAAACTTTGCAACCTAGTAAAGAAGTTGGAGATTTGCCAGCCAGGAAACTTTGCTTTGCACCCCCAAACCAGGGCCGGGGATCAGAGGAGATCCCTCCTAGAAGGTCCGTTTCTGGACAATAAACCCCAGGTGCAAGAGCTGAGATACAGTTGAGGAGGCTAAGTTGAGTACAGGAAGCAAGCCCTATTGTCTGTCTGGAAGATCTGCCCAAATTCCACCTCCTTCCTTCAGACACCGCTCCTTCTTTCCATTCCCGCCCCTTCCTCAGCCTGCCTTCACCCCAAGTTTAAGTAGGAACACGGGGTAAGAGCCCCCACGTCCCCCTGCCCACCCCTCCCTCCCTCCCTCCCTCCCTCCCCAACACGGAAAAGTTGCGGCTGGGCTAGGGGACGGGGTAGCGGTGGGGGCGGGGATGGGAAAGCGGCCTGAACTCGAAGTGTAAGGGTATCAGTCACTGCCGGGAAGGAAGCTCCGGCTTGTGAACTCTTCTTGAACCGAGATTTAAGTCTGCGGCCATAAATCACCGAGACGTAAACTCCGCCATTCAGCGCTGAGAGCGGCCGGTCGTGGCCCTGCTTACCTTAACTTCTGACGAGCGCCGCGAGCGCAGGCTCGGCTCCGGCTCCGGCTCCGGCTCCGGCCCCGGCCCGGCTCGGCGGCCCGGCCGGGTCCCCTCGGCGCGGGACGGGCACCGACCCTCAGCATCAGCCGAGAGGGCGGGCGGGAGGGAGACCCGGAGGCCGGGACACCGCGACGCAGAGCGTGGCCGCCTCGCTGCTCCGGCACGGTTCGCCCAGGGCGGAATGGGGCGGCTTGGACCCCCCCTCCCACCCACCCCACCCACCCACCCCTCCCCCACACCCCCGCCCCCTGCCCTTCCCGAGGGCAGCAGCCGCGGGCCGGAGATAAGCGCTAGCACGGCGCGGGGCTCTGCCTGGGCTAGTGGCACCGACTTGGGTATGTTTCTTATGAATATTACGCGCGGAGCAGCGGCTGGTAGGGGGTGCGGTGGGGGGGGGGTGCTGGGGGCGGGCGGGAGGGGCGGCCGAGGCGGCTGGGGCTGCGCGGGCCGGCCTGGGGGCTGGGGCTGAGATGAGGGGAGGGCCGGGAGCGAGAGGGGGAGCTCGGCAGTGGCGGGAGGAGGGCAGCCTCCCCCCAACCCCCACGCCCTCCCTCTCCTCGCTCCTGGGCGTCACTAAAGTCCTGGAAAATTATGCTAATGAGGACAAGCGGCTCTCACAAAGGGGATCTCTCGCCGGGCTCTATTTCTTAGGAATACGTTTGGGAAACCATGTAACCCTCTGCCCTGGACATTTCCAGTCGAGGGGCAGGGAGGAGAAACAGGCCAAGAGAGTTCCCCGGACTTCGGGCAGTTGACCTCACCTGTCACCCCAATGAAGAACCTCAGAACCAATCTTTGGGGGCCTCGGATGGGGCCTCTTTTCTCGAGAGACCTCCCAGAGAGCAAACGGGGCTGCCTTTGGTTATGTCGGTAGGCATCAACACTGAAACCCTGGCAGCCCGCAGAGAAGGAGCCGGGGGGAGCTGCACGGTGCTGGCGCAGTGACATGGGACGCTCTGGGCTCGGGTACACACGCGAGTCTAGAGACCCCGGGGTCCAGCTCTCCTGTGGGGGGTGTCACAGCCCAAACATGCAGGTCACTCACAGGGAAAAACTGATAAAGCTCTGACCTCAACTGCAACCGACATCTGTGGTATTCCACCCCCAACCCCCAACTAATTCGTGGTGTACAGGGGCGCTGAGCAGAGGAAAGGCCTGCTTGTGCCCGGTAATATTTCCACAACTTGAAGGAGGACAGTCCTCCTCCCTTCTCTCGCCTCTCTCAACTCCCCAGATTCAGAAGCAAACTCTGCAAGGGGGTCTGTGTGTGGCAAAAAAGAGAGAAATGGAGCTTTCGTGCAATTCCAAGGTGTCAACGGCCGGTCCTCCTCAAAGGAAGGTGTTAAAAATATAAGTAGTATGTTTAAACTGTCAGGGAGCCAAAGTGTCACCTTAGAGCAAAAACAAAGCCAAGGGAAAAGGGAGAAATCAAAAAGCACTCCCGGCCAGGGTGGCCTCATGCATACCAATGGTTTTTGTCATTTACGGCTGGGCAAGATTTATGACTCGGCGCCCCAACGCTGTAAACAGAGCACAAAACAGCAAACACTTGCTCCTTATGGCATATTGCGGCAGCGCAACTTGAAAGGGGGAGCGGGGCCGCGCGTAGGAGGCCAGAGCCTGTCGCAAAAATCCGCTCGGCGGCATTTTCTCTTCAAACCGTCCGGGTTGGATGTGGCATTTGAAGAAAGAAGGCGTGGGTCAATAATCAACCCGCACTTTCTCCTCCAAACTGCTGACGTGACTCTCACGCCTCCTCAACTAAGCCAGCTGCATGCAGGGATGGCCAGCTCTCTGAGAACCTGCCAGGGAAGGGGACGCCCGGGCCAAGGGAGCCGAGGGCACCGAGGTGAGGGCTGGAGCGCCCAGGGCGCATACCTTTCTACCTGCGCCAGGACCGTGCCGGGGCAAAACGCGGGGGCTGGACCCGCGGAGCTGGGGAGCCTGGGGGGAAAGCAAGGACAGGAGCTCCGCCTGCCCAGAATAGGTGGCTTCTGGGCACCGGCTGCCGCGGGCAGAAGCGGGGGTTCTGACCTCGAGGCTGCAGTCTGGCGCCTTTGGCACGCAGACTGCCTGGAAGTCAGGCCTCTCTGCTGAAATCCAAAGTACTGGCTTTGGGAGCAAGGCAGGCGAGGTGATTACAAAATAATAATTTATAATAGCTGAAGGCATTTTGTTTGTTTCTGTTTTTAAGGGGAAAAAAATACCTCCTGTCGGTTTCCCATTGCCTGAAACTAGCCGGTCTCTGCGGCCGGCCCTTTCTAAGCAAATCCCGCAGCGACTCACCCGGCTCCACCAAAACCACTGAGGTTTTCTTGGCGAGGGCCGTTTGGCTCCCCAGTTCCCCGAAGTCCCTGTGCTCCCTACCTCTCTTGCCCATGGGGACCAAAAGAAAACATTTTCTCAGTTCTAGAAGAATGTTTGAAACACTGAAAGTGTGCCGGTGCCCCTCTCAGGGATCTCCTGGTGAAAGCGCCTGAGAGGGCCTGGGTGGCTGGGGGTGGGGTGGGGTCGGGGGGACCGCTGGCTGTGCGGCCGGGGACCAAGGTGAGGAGTAGCTGTTGGCAAGAAGAGGCAGGGAAATCCCAGAATGGGGAGGGAAATTAATGAGGAAATGCGCTTGCCTGTGAGGGTGAGGCTGGCATTTGGAGGGTGAAAATGGACTAAGCCCTTTTTACAGCCACAGTTTAGCTATAATGGAGTGGCTGCAGCTCTTTCCTTGGAGGAAAAGCCAACCTGTGTTCTGTTCTGTGACTGTTGGTCTCTTCTCACTGTGCGTGCTTTTGTACAGAACCAGCTCGAGGGGCCTTCCTTAGATATTTATGTTGCGTGCTGGTACTGAAGCGACAATAAAAAGATGCCTTTAACAAACCTCTATTCCCTCTCTCATTCTTTCTAGTGAAACTATATTATTTATGAGTCTTTAACTGGGTCAAAAATGCGCCAGAACTGGGTCATAAATCAAATGAAATGCTGACAAGTAATTGAACAGCAATTAAAGCTTACATTTTATTTCCAAGGGGTGTTTTAGAGCACTTGAAATGGCCTCAGTTAAACACGGTTAGTGCCGAGGCTGGCAGAGGGGGAGGGCAGAGCAGCCCTTCCATTCTGGGGAGTGAATCCCACTCAAGTAGGGGAAGCCTCATTTGATTTTTCCCAAGTACAAAAAGAAATATGGTGTGTGTGGTTTTTTTTTTAAAGAAAGTTGCAAGGCAAATCTGCTTCGCAACTCCTGGTAAGCACCCCTTTCCTCTGCTCTGAGAGCTTCAAGAACAGAAGACAGCGAAGTTTCCTTCACCTTTTCCGGGAGTTTCAGTCTTTCCCAGGAGTGCTGGGTCCCCAAAGCCCAATTAGCTAGGGCTTTCCCGGTAATTTACAGACACAGTTTAACTCTCGTCTGCCTCCACCCTGGCTGTAGTACCACTTCCCAGAGAAAGTCTGCCTCTGTTTCCTGCAGGCTCTGCCCCTGGACTCCCCTCCAGCCTAGGGTGCACCGGCCAGCCCTCCAACTCTCCAAGCCAGCTGGGAGCACACAGGGGCTCGGCAGGCCATGCTCATTATGAAGCCCAAACCCAGCTCAGGCTACCTCTTTCCTCTCTGCGCCCCAACATTAGAATAGCGGAGCTTTGGGGCATCCAGCATGCTTGCCCCCACCCCAAGCCTGTCCTGAATCAGAGCTGTCCTTCTCCACCCCTATGGGGCAGGGGGTGTGCGGGAAACAAAGGCCAGTCTTCGGGGTCCAGCTCCTTCCATCCCGTGTGTGAGAAAGCGCGCCCTGCAACCCAGCACTGAACAAAGTGGCCTGAAGCATCATCAATAAAATGGCAGCGCATCTGCACACTCATTGATTTCCTTCTCCCAGAGGCTCCGGCTGCTCCGGTCAGCCCTAGCCCTCCATCCTGGCCGGCAAACAGGAGGAACCGGGGAGCGATTCCCGTTCTCCTTCACTCGGCTTCCGTCTACCCCATCCAGTGTTGCCTTAGGAACCCAGCAGCGGCGGCTACCTTAGCCTGTGCTCAGCCTGCTCCGGGGCTTTGACACCCTCCCTCTGCCTGGGGCTCAGCTCTGGGACTCCAGCGCTGCCGTAGTGGACAAAGCCACCCTAGAGCTGGAGGCCACCAGGCCCACCGATTAGCACCCAAGTGCCCTTTCCTCCACACCCCCACCACCACTTTCCAGGGAATTAAACTCAGTCTCAGGCGCTACTGGGGATCTTTCAAATGGTTTTGGTTCTAAAGGAGAAACAAAGGAAGAGAGGGGCTGAGGGTCCTGTCCCTGAACCAGGGTCTCCTCGCCTGACCTTTGTCTCTCACGGCCATAACTCACTCTCGATATGAACAATCGACGGAAATACCTTAAAATAAATTCCATCCTCCTGGTGTGGCCTCGAGTCCCATCGGCTAGCTGGCCCAGTACCGCTCCATAAGCACTGAAAACTGCAACCCGCCAGGAGAGCGCTCTCCGGAGAAGGGGAAGGAGAAGGAGGAGGTGGGTGCGTTGGGGGTGGGGGGGAAAAGCTCTCTCTCTGTAGAGAATCCACAAAACGTAATCACAGGCGAAGCCGCCCGGGTCTCCGCTCCAAATGCCACAATAATGTGCTGTATTATGTGCTCACGTGGTCATACGTCAACTTAAATCCTTTTATTTGAAATAGGGAATCACTGAAGGAACTAGGTTTCTAAGCAGAACATTTAGCTTTGGGGGAGGGGAGGTGGGAGGCCTTGACCAGCAGTAAGGAAGAGTTTTGTCTAAGGCCGTAGGATGCTGGGGGCGCGTGCCCTTCCCCCCACCCCCACCAACATGTGCCACACAAGGCCAGTTATCTCCGCTTCTATTTCTTTGCACTTGATCCGCACACAAGGAAACAGCAATGCTCTCTCCATTCTCAGAGTCCACATAACTTTCCTTACAGTCTTCCACACAGGGACCTGCCGAACCCAGCACACCCAAGCACTGCAATCTCTTCTGGCCAGTACATCACAAGGCAGGGCTCAGGCCCTTTTTTCTGGAAGAAAAGCCAGTAATGATTGGCCTAGTCAGTGGACTCCCTCACAGGTCTGCCATTGTATGGAGTTTGCTAACACCCACGCCATACACCACAGCCACTGTAGGAATCCAAAAGGCCCATAATTACCTGACAAAAGGCTAAAACACCTCCTCCAGGTCCGGTTGGTTTTGTTTGATAAGTGCTCCTAGTAGAGAGGTGCTTGGCTCTAAAGTGGGGGGTCAGAGTTCTGCTGGAAGGACTCCGAGCCTGGGCCACACCTGCATTTATGCTTTTCCTCAGTGCACAGCGGAGTGGTACATGAAATCATAGGCTTCTCATGATAACAAATGTAAGGGGAAATGCTTTCATCGTCTCTGCAAGGAGAGGAAATAAAGAACCTTTGCTCGCATCCCTTGATTTAACCTACAAGACAATCTGGGACCCTCTCTGTAGGCAGGCTTGCTCACCCTCCCCAAAGACAACTCTGTCCACCAGCAGAAACTGAACTGGACTGACTCTTCTCAGGAGGAACCTGACTGAAACACACACACACACACACACACACACACACACACTCTCCTGCCTTCTTCTTGGTGACATTCTCTGTATTTCAACACTTCACCCTCTCAGGAGCTGTCTAAAAAGTTTCTCTTTTCAGGTCTTAGTTTCTGAACTTTGGGAGTGCCCTGAGGGGGTGAGGTCCTCACGTCATAGTCTTTTGTTCCTGGAGAGCCGGTCTCCAGTAAGCTAGGCCTCTCCGAGCATGAGGACTGGCTTGTAGCAGCTGCAGGAGGCTACGCTTGACTCTTCCCCTCCCCTCCTCTCCTTCCCTGCAGGGAAATAGAAGGGGCCTGGTGAGACTGTAAGGCCCCCCTCAGTCAGGGGGGCCTGGTCATGGGGTGTCCTACTCAGAACGGCAACACAAGAGGAGGAGACCTCACCCCTTGGAAATGAGCCCTGGCCTGAGCTGGTGGCAATACTCCAATAAGGTTCTGTCTGTGGTGTGGCTGGGGGAGAGCCTCCATGTCAACTTTCTCCGTTCTCAGTTAAGCCACAAGCTGGAAAGTAAGCACCCAAAGTGAAAAACTGCTTCTCTCAGGTTTGGGGCTGGAGTAGGGGACAGGACCAAAGGCCGGTTTCCAAAAAGTACTCCCCAGTACCCCCCAAAATTCATACCACTACTACACTGCCCTCTGCTCCTTTTACCCCCCCCCAATATTTTACACTGAGCTCTCCCGATAGTCTACAAAGGACCTGGAAGTATTGCCCAAGCACTGGCAAACTCCCCAACCAAAGTTTCTGTAAAGGTTTCAACTCAAAGATGAGAAGGGGCCCCCTTCAGAACTCTCAGAACAGTCTGGAGCAAACCGAAATTCCCAAGGCCATAAATCAATGGGGGAAGTCTTTGGTCGTGCTTCAGAGAAATGCCTTAACGCCAGCAAGGCCCAGAGGCACCTCAGCTCCAGCCAGGAGCCTCCATGCCCCCATTAACAGCCCAGTTAATGCTCCAACTGCTGTTTAACAATTAACATTAAGGACTTGGGGGCAGGAGGGGGTGACTTGGTGGGATATAAAAGGAAAAAAAAATCAGAGGAAATCAAAAGAAATTTAACTTTTGAGGTGAAAAGAGCTTTTCTAGGAGAGACCTTGGTCTGGGCGAGTCACCAGGGAGCCAGCAGCTGAGAGCCCTCCCTCACCACTCTGAGATCCGCTTTCCTGGAGCGAGGCTCTGGGCCTTTTACATTTCCATTCCAGGGAAGGAGAACAGAGATGCTCAAGGATCTAGGCCCAGGCTGGGAGACCCAGCTGCCAGTCCTGCTCCATTCATTCCCCGGGCCCCGACCTGGCCAGCCAGAGATGGGGACGCACGCCCTGGATCCAAGCCACCAGAGCCGAAACAGGCAGCAAGTTGTCTCAGAAGGAGCAGGTGACTTAGGATACAGAGCTTTAGTCAATATTTGCAAGGCTGTTGGCAGATTAGATATAGCTGTATTCAAACACTGCAATCTGATTTCTCTGTCACAAATACACTTAACATTTTTCTCCCCGCAGTTAACTCCAGTGGTTTTTCTACTCACTGTCAGGTTAGGCCCTCTGAGCTCACTTTTTTTTTTTTGGTGGAGGTTATAGATCATTACTTAACATGAGATATTTCCTGTGGGTGCAACTGCACTACAGATGGACTCCAAGTGCCCTGGACACACGTGAATGTGTATATCACTTTATACACATGGCCTCAAACTCCTGCAACTGTTTATACACTCAATAGCTCTGTGTGGGCAGAGATGCAAATCACATGTGCACCCTGAGTTGCAAATTCCTGAAATGCTCCATCTATACTTGATATAAGTTGACATACAGTAGCTGAGAAGGTAACCCAACTTTACTATCATTCTGCTTACTTCCTATTGAGCAAAATAAGAGTTGTATCCAGAACACCACATCAGCCTTAGAACATCACTGACTAGCATGCTGCAATTAATTAGCAACCTGGTGTTTATTGGGGGACCAAATTTTAGGGAAGACCGAGGCCTAGGGAGTAGAAAACAAAATCTCAGAAAACGTTTTAAAAGAAGTAACTCCTCAAAGAAAAAAAGCAAACCCATTGCTTCACACCAAGCTTTGGAAAGCTATTCCAGCAGCCCCTCCTCCAAATAAGGCACGAAATTTATGGATCTTTTACAAGGTAATAAACCACAGTAATTACCTCCCTGCATCCCAAACTAAAAGAACAAATTAAGCCACAACTGGAAAAGAATTTTAAAGAGTGTTTCCCTTGTTCCAAATAGGAAAAGAAAACGCTGAGACACAGAAAACCCATGTTTTTCCCGCAGGAAGAAGAACGGATCAGCTCGGCCACGGGAACCTAGAAGCCGCGCTGCCTGTGACGGTCTACCCTTTGGAAAAATCCTCCCGCACGCCAAGGAAAAGCAAAAGGACGGAATAAACTCCAAGGCGGCGAGACCGCTTTCCTCTACGCGGAGATGGGCTAACCACAACTTCCGCGCTCGCAGCCTCCACGGGCGGGCGCCGCCACCAGTGGACCAGGAGAGCGGCCCACGCAGCGGTCGCTGCGCCCGTGGGCTCTACCGTCTTTTGCCCGGCTGTTCCATGCGGTAGTTTGTTTCGAACTGACCAGAAGGAACAAATCGACCCTTCTAACGCCCCCGCCCCCTCAAGCGCGTACATCCTTGGTCCCTGCGACCTAGCGCCTCTCTTGCACAACGCCGGCTTTGCGGGCTGACTCTTTGTCTGCATGAAGCCCCGCGTTCGCGGAGCACGCAGCTGGAAATATCCCAGCTCCAAAACTCCTCCGAAGTTAAATATTGACCAGAGCCTCCTTCCAAGGGCTGCAGCTGCCTCTGGGAGAGCAAACTTCGGCCAAAGGCCCGGTGCAAAGCCCCAAGCAGCGACGAGTTTGGGCGCAGCGCTTACCTCGAAAGATGTTTAAGACTGTACCCCAAACCGTCTCCAACTCCAGGCGCTCAGTGAATCGCCTTTTCCGGTGTCCAGGCGCTCTGCGGACAAATAAACAGGAGACGGTGAACGGTGGCTGCAAAGAAAGGGAGTTGGAGGACCAGAGTTGGAAGCTCCGCCGGTCCGGGCGCCAGGGTGGCCCCCGGGGTGACGCGGACACGGAGGAGTCGCCAGGGCATTCGTCCATGCGGTGTACTCATTGCTCGAAAGGTTCCAGTCTACAAATGGCCTGAAGATGGTGATTTATTTTTGTAAAATAAATACATACTCCATCTCCGCATCCACACTCTTCGTTTTCTTTCTTTATATAGGGGGTGGGAAGGGGGGAAGGGGGAAGAAAATGGACGAGGCGGAGCAAGATAGGACAGTGGAAGGTGCTTTGCTCTTGGTGCCCGCTCTGCTCGGAGAGCTCCTCACGCACCTCAACTTGGGGAATGTGAATGAACGCTTTATTTTCCTTTGCCAACAAAGGGAAGCCTTGTCTGGGAGCATTCAATCACGGACTCTCCTGAAACCTCACTAATAGTGTTCATTTCTGTTTGGCGCGAAATCAGCCCAGGCTCGGCCCATGGGCCAGGGGCAGCCTTGAGAGGTTTTGTCTTCTGCCCTGGGCGTCACTCCTCCATCCCAGTGGGCTGGCTGGACTACCGCAGTGCCCAGTCCCTCACAGCAGGCCAGCTGTGGCTGCTGGAAATAGGGGTTTTGAAACTGAGAGAGACACGGGCATTGGACAATACCCCGTCTAGGGGCCCTATCCAGCCTCAACTTCATCAGTGGGTATAAGCCCTTAGATGCCCCATACTGCTACCACTCCATTCCTCAAGACATTCGCAATCCTTTCTTTCTCTCCAACTAGCAAATGGTCAACCAACTTTGGTGGGAGGGGGGAGGCACTGGGGAAGGGGCAAGAATCGTCCTAGGCAAGGGGCTCTGGCTTGGAGAAGTTTTCTGCTGGGCTAGGACTCTGCCGGGTGGATTGCTTCCACAGCCTTGTTCCTGCCCCAGTATCCCTTCACTCAAACCCGCACAGCCTCCCCACATTCCAGCGGGCCCCAAACCAGCCTTCAATGGCTGTCCCGCATCCATTCAATCCTGGTGATAGAGCCAAGGGTGGCTACCAAATAGCTGACAGGTCCCCTGACCCTCGGGCATCAGAGCCCTCTAGCACACTGAACAAGTGGCCACAAACCGGCAGCTAGCTGCCCTCTGCCACCACCGTGAACTGCAGTCCCCACCCTCCATCAGGCACTTGGGACTCAGAATCCATGCTGGGCCCCTTTCTTTTGTTCAAACTCGCCCTCTGTGTCCCCAAAGGGACTGCCCCCTGGCCTGGGGGCACCTGGTGTGACTCTGAGCAATGTGGGGCTTCACTACTCTGCACATTGCCACTCAACTTCACCCCAGGAAGATCCACTACGCCACCGCCCGCCACGCCACCCCAACTCAGCGATGCTTAGGAGCATTGTAATTATTATGGTTATTATTATTGTTGCTATTTCCTTATCCCCAAGTCAAATATTCATGCTGCTGCTCCCTATAAATCGTTCAGACTAATGAGTCACAAAGATGTGGCCCAGGTCTCTCCCTCTGCAATGGCTGCCGCCTGTAGCCTCTCTCTGGGAGTTTTTGGCGCTCCCTTGCTCCCTTGCTCGCCCAGCGCGGGTGATTTATGAACACCGGGAAAATTGAACAAAGCCGCGCGCCTGTTCTGTGGTATCTCTGCAGCCTTCCCCCAGTGTGAATCAGAACATTACCAACTATCTGCGCATCCGTCCCACTTCATCACCGGAGCCAGGATGTGACCGCAGAAAACCCGAGCTCCAACTCACGTTTCCCCGGACGCAGCGCGCTCCCCGGACTCGGACTCGCAGAAATCCTGCAGAGAAAGCCCCTAGACCCAGTGTGGGCCCGCCAGCTCGGGTCCTCCCCGCTAAAGGGCTCTCTCCGGCCTTCCTGAAGAAGTGAAAAGCCTTTGGAAATAAATCTGAGGGTGTGTGTTTTAAAAAATCAAATAGGAAGTTGGGGGTCTCACTTCTGAGAGATTCATTCCTAGTGAGGCCCTGCCGACTTGGAACCATTCTTGATGATCGGCATTAATTATTTAATGAATCACGTGACCTCGGAGCACAATTTCAATATCTCCATCGAACAGGCGCTACACCTTTAGCTGCTGCAACCAGGGCCCTGGGTTGGCTTTTTTAGTTCCCGGGCCTTTGGAACACAGACACCCTTGCCCAGCTCTGGGGCAAAGGATGACATGGAAATACCAGGAAAAGCATAACAGAACTGGTCATTCTGGGACTATGAGAATTGTGGACAGTGGGGTGTCCACTGCTCTCTCAGGCATCCTGATGTCTGTTCCCTCCAGAGCCCAGAGGTTATCCCACCTATCTCAGCACCCTGGCTAAGGAGATGTGGTTACCTAACCTCCCCAGGACCTTTGATGGCTCATGAGGCAAGAACCCACCTTCCTAACCTGGCAAAGCACACCTGTGGCCCTCCGTGTTATGTTATGGACCAGACTCATTGGTCTGTTCCACACAGAATAACCTTCTGCCAAAGCAACATGCTAGTGCACTTAACCCTATCCAAGGTGAGACCAGATCTGCAATCATTACCATAAAGAACAGAGTGGGGGAGCATTCAGTGGTCTCAGTTTCCTCATCAGGTAAACTGAGATTGAACCACAATGGCCTCCAGATCTCTTTTACCTGGGCTATTTTTTTTTTTCAATCAGGGATCTCTTTTAGCTTCAGGAACCAATTCCAGAGAGACTTGGGGCTGGCCTGAAGGGGGGGCAGGGGTTATTCCATGAGTTTGGGACCTTGAGAATGTCAGAGTTCCAAGACAGAAATGTCAGATGAGAATATTTCACAACAGCCCAAGTAGCCTCCTGATGCTGTTATCAAAGAGTTAGAGTACAGGTCTCTTCCTACCTCCTACTTTCCCCAGCCCATACACTTTGAGAGAAGAAGCAGAGTTAGTCTTGGCTCAGTACATAATACAGAGAAGGGCAACAACCGCTGGAGGAACAGCTGTTGGGAAGGGTGAGCCTGTGTTCTCCAATATAGGACCTCGGTTAGGGCTGCAGATACCAAGAGGGTGTAAAGAACAGCCTATTATTGCTGCACAGAACCCATTCAGACAGATGGGAAGCCCAGGTTTCTCTTTGCTATTTTGAGTCTTTGGATTTTTTTTCTTTCTTTCCATTCTGAAGAGTGGCTGACCTGTTACAATGTGAAACAGGTTGGAGGGAAGGCAGTGGTGGGTGAGAAACTAAACTCCCAAACTGTGCCAGTCTGTGCCAGTTTGGAAGCTTAGAGGAGAAGGGGAGCAAAGGAGAAAAGGTGATGCCCACCCCATGCGGAGGAGGCTGAGAGCTGGGGGGAGGAGGCGGGCACCCAGGGACAGCTGAGGGTAAAGTCAGCGACTCCGCGCAGAGGGCCCACTCCCCATATATCTAGGTGATCTTCCCCTGAGCTCCATCCTGGGTATTAAGTACTCTACTATGCCTGTCACAGTTGAATTCCTGCTGCAATAAAACACCGGGTGTATCGTAGATTTCAGCAAAACTAGGAAAGAGAGCCCGCAAAGTGCCATTTTTCTTCAGGGGGGAGACTGTTAAGCACTTAATTCAAACTGTGACCATTAAAGTGTCTCCTATCCGATTTAGGTTGATTTCAGATGTTGACAAAACTTTTATCTCCCGAGTCATGCATAGCTCAGCTGTGTGAGTAAAGAGGATGCGTGTGTGTTGTAGGAGAGGAGATAGAAGGAAGAAAGAAGAGAGTGTGTGTACGGGCCATTTTGGGAAAAGAATTATAGAGCTTACACAAAATACTGTCTTTAAAGGTCAAGGGTTTGAGGGGCCAGTAGGGTTTTCTTAAAAAAAAAAAAAACAATTAATGAGATAGAAAATTTGTCCTCTGGGTGAACTCTATGGTTGCCCTAGCAAAGGGGAGACAATGCAGGATTTTGAAGCACAAAGTGGGATTTTTCTAAGCTGTTATAACAAGCTCCTTTAAAAGGCCAAATCTGAAACAGGCGGAAACACTGAAGAACTCACACAATCATCTGGACCATTTTGGACAATTTTGACTTGGTAAAACTTACCAATATCTTAACAATAAAGACAGTTTGGGTAAAAATGCCATTTTGCCCTGGAATATTAAAAAAAAAAAACTCCATCCTCTCTCTTCCTTTCCTGGATAGTCTATAAGAGTCAGTGAAAGAACATTACTCCTTTTAGCCCCATAGAGCTGCCTCTAGTATTTGGCTAATTAACACCCCCACCCTCCTTCCCTACCAAGGAGAAATATAAGAATTTACCTTAAATGATGACAATCTGCCATGTGAAGTTTTGCAGCTCGACACTCAGTTTCCACCAAGAGTCTAGGCATTTTTTGAGCAGACAGCCAAGATGCTGCATCTTTGCCCGAGACCACATTATTTGCAAGAAGATCCCTTGCTTCGCCACAGACTTTTCCCAGAGAATGCCTTTCAGAATTGCTGTTGAATTACAAAGAAGTATTTATTGTATGAGGTGATTAATGGTTCCTGGGAAAATTGCTATTTTCAATGTGATCTAATTTTGTTTTACAAATGCGTGTAGCAGAGGAAGGGTTAATAAGTTTCAGCAGCAGTTGCAGTGATTCCAGAAATCCCTGGCACGCACTGACACCTTATAAAATGCATTTTACACCAGGGTTGGCCTGACCTGGGGAGAGGGGCACTTGTTTGCCCCTGAATTTTCTTGGGGAGAGGTAGAGGCCGCTCTGAGGCTAGCATCCATCACTCCCCTCTCAGATCTGGTTTGTTCATAGGTGGACAGCTGCTCGCCTTTGCCTGTATCCCATTCAGAAGGAAGGAGTAACAGCGCTGACCACTGACCACTGGCTAAGGGTTGGCCACTGATGGAAAAAATGTGCTTAAAACTCCTCTGTTATTGCAGAGGTAGGTGAGCGCCCCCTCCCATCTCTGCGAAAATTACTCCATGAACTAAAAATTGCCCTCATTCAAGGCCAAGTGACAATTCTAATATTCTGGGGCTGGTGTGTGGGGGTTTTTTTGCACATCGTCCCTTCAATGACCACCAAGTCTAAATTCTCTTGACCGATGTGTAGGTCAGTAAACCAATACTAGGGATATGGAGATTGAGAAGCGGATTTTGGTTCACCCTTTTGAATCTAGATCTCTAGGTTTGGCAGAAAAGTCTGGGAGCATTTGAGGAAAGTGACCCTAGTTCAGAGTTTGGCTTTCTTCCAATACTGAATACTTCCAGGTCTTCCTTGCTTGGGGTATAATTTGGGGTGTCATTAAACTTTTTCTTTCCTTGGAAGAAAGTTTTGGGGGTGTACTGAGGAAATGCAGTTCATTTTGAAAGATCCTTTTTTTTTTAAAAAAAAAAAAAAGGGGGGGAGAAAGAAAGATGCCAACAAATAAAAATTCCTAAGCTATAGTTAGTGAGCAGAAACTTAAAAACAGGGAAGAAACAAAGGCAATCTCAACCCTTTGCACAAACTATTTTTTATCTCCAGGGAAACAGGCAGATTAAGTGTGAAGGTGCAATAAATACCAAAGGGACCACATCTTTCCAAGTGTGTTCAGAGTTCAGCGAGCAGAGCAGCTGCAGAAACTCCTGGGCCCGCAGCACTGCCTGGTTTCACCTTTCACTGCAGGGAAGGACACGTCTCTGTTTCTGTGCCTTACAGAGACTTGAAGCCTGAAAAGCTGGCCAAGTTTGGGGAGAAGAGGAGCCCTCTCAGAGCTCAAGGGCCTTCATGCTCCTTGGAACTTTTCCCACAGTGGGTCAAACTTGACAAGAGTTCAGCTCAAGTTGAACACACTCACGCAAATTATACAAGCAGTCAGACTCCAAGTGAACACAACCCAAGCCACCTACAAGATTCTCACATGCAAGGTCAAACACCTCAATCCAGAGCACTTTTTTTAAAAAATTAAAAATAGGAAGGACACAGATGTGTTTTAGAACTTTAATGTTTTTCTTAAGCAGTGTTTAATCTTAGCACATGGCTTTCTATGTAGCCACACCACAATTTGTACAGTTGCACACGGGTCTAGATGCACGCCCCCTCCCCCAGGATCGTGCCTCGGGAAGAAGACCACAATATCTCTACAACAATATTTTAAATAAATGCAAAGGAGGGAAGCTGTGTGTCACATCTACCATGGAGGACTATACATTTTGAGAATTAAATAATCTTGTGAGGTCCACAATGTCTACTCATTCCGTTCAAGACAAGCTTGTACGAGCTGCCTTAATGAGAGAGGGGAGGGGAGGAAGGTGAGAAAGGGGTCTGTTTTCTTCTGCTTGAACAAGTGGACACACACATGTCCCCCGTCAGCATGGGCTGCCCAGCAGACCTCAGCCACCGCAGAAGTGCCTGATGCCAAGTGGTCCTTCTGAGGTGCCCAAACCTGGCAGCCTCCTTCAGGCCACCAGGTCGCTCCGCCAGCCAGCATCCTGGCCATTGTCCTCTCTTGGGTGGCAACCAGCACACACTCTTACCAGGATAATGTAGTCTTCTTTTAAAAAAAAAATTATACTTTTCATCCAATTGGGTTTTGTTTTGGCATCTGTTATGGTCCAGACAGGGAGAGGTGGATGGGGGCAGGGGCAGAGGAGAGGAGAAAAGCAGGTGAGGGAAAGAAACTGGTCTAGATCTCTGGAAGATTATATGGAGGAGGGCACGGGTGTGGAGGCACCCTGATGGGGATGGGGATGCGGGTGCGGGTGCGGGCTCTGAGTTTGTGCTTTTCCTGGCGGGCCTGCTGAGGCCGAGGCCGAGTTGGAGGATCGCATCTTAGTGTTGGGCAGTTTGTGATCTTTCTTCCACTTCATCCTCCGGTTCTGAAACCAGATCTTGACCTGACGCTCAGACAAGCAGAGCGTGTGGGCGATCTCGATGCGGCGGCGCCGGGTCAGGTAGCGGTTAAAGTGGAACTCCTTCTCCAGCTCCAAGACCTGCTGCCGGGTATAGGCGGTTCGAGAGCGCTTGGGCTCCCCTCCGCTATAACTGGGGTTGACTGAAAGCCCATAACCCCAAGGAGAAAGCCAAAGAGGAGGGAGTGAAAAGAGAGGGAAAGGAGGAGGAGAGATAAGGTGGGGTGGGGAAGAGCAATTGGACATCATCATTATATAATAACCTGACACCAAGTTCACGCAAGACACATAAAACGGCAAAGAAAATGTTTCACAGGCTATTGACAACGGGAAACACCCGAGAGCCATAAAGAATGGTTCTGGGCCTTGGGGCTGAAGAAAAGCTTCAAAGACACATGGCCTGAAGCCTCTGCCAGGGCAATTAAATTTATGGGGGCTATAATTACTGCCCTAACAGTTTGGCGTCTCGTAAATCTCCCGATAAAGGGACCCCGGGTACAAAAGGATTCTCACATTGGGATCAGGCGGCTGGCTGGCGCACATACACCCACAATCCCACTGTAGCCTGGGCCAGATGGGGGCTTCCCTCCCGAGGTCCTCTTCCCCTTGTCCTCTTCTCCTGACCCCCGCTCAGACCCTCAGACCCCGGCCGGGCCCCAGCCCACCCTCCCACGCCTCCCCAGCGGCGCCACGTACCGGCGCTGACATGGATCTTCTTCATCCAGGGGTATACCACCGGCTCCTTGCCCTTCAGGCCCGGCGGGCTCTTGTCGGCCAGAAGCAGCGGGCACGGGGGGGCGCTGCCCCCTGTCGGGACGCCCGAGGTGGCAGGAGCCGCCTCGCAGCGCCGCGGGGGCGCCGAGGGCGCCGCGCGATGCTGCGGGGGAGGCGGCGGCGGGGGCTGCCGCCCGGGCGGCAGGACGTGGCTCGCGTGCAGGCCGTGCGCGGGACCCTTGGCGTGCGCTGGGGGCTGCTCGGGCTGCGGTGGCCGCCCGGGGCTGGCGCCGCCGCGGTAGCCATAAGGATAGGCGGTGTCGTGCGCAGGGTAGAGCGGGGCCGCGGGGTAGGAGGGCTCGCGGGCGGCCCGTGGCGCGTAGTAGGAGGCGGGGGGCTCGCGGCTGCCGCCCGCGTGGGGGAGCTGGGGCTGCTGCGGCGGCAGGTGCTGGGCCGCGGGCGCTGGGGGATGCTGGTAGCTGGAGCCCCCGCCCGGGCCGCCGTCTCCGCCGCCCGGGCCGCTGTGCTGCGCGTACTCCTCGAAGGGAGGGAACTTGGGCTCGATGTAGTTGGAGTTTATCAAAAACGAGCTCATGGTCATTAATTTGTGAAGTGCAAAAATACTAATTTTTCTCGCGTTGTCGTTTTTCTGGGCTCGCCGAGGCCCCTCCCCCTCCTGCCTCTCTCCCCATCCCCCCCCTTTCGTCCGCTCCCTTCCCCTCCCCCGCTGTCAAGCGCCCACCCCTCCCCCTCCCGCCGCCGCCAATGCCACCAAAGTTCGCGCCGCTCCTCCCCCGCCCGCGCCAGCGCTCTGCCCACCCCGTCCCCGCACGTGACCCGCCCCCGCCAATGGACGCGCCGCGCGCGCGGACCCGGATCAGGAAGCGCGCGGGAGGTGATGGATGCTGCTGTCGGGTCCCGGCCGGAGGGAGGGAGTTGGCGCTCCGGTCCCCCAACCCCCCAACTTTGAGTCCCGCTGGGAATTAGGGACCCTCCAGGCTTCAGGTCCTCTCGGACGGCCAGGCCATGCCCTGTGCGTGCCCTGCTCCCGGCTTGGGCCTCAGGGCAGCGGGGCACCGCGGCCCAGCGTTGACCTCGGGCCCAGCCTAGCCTGGCCTGGCGTTCTCCAGGGTTCGAGGCCGCCTGGGGCAGGGGATGAGGTTGGGCCCGAGGAAATATCGTGGCTTCAATCCTGGCCCCGGAATAAAGCGACTGACACGAACAGACCCGTTTTCTCACCAGCTGATCCCCTTCCCCACCTCGGGCCCGCCGCGTCCGCACCGAGTCCCGGCTCTGAGAAGCCGGCCGGGAACCACGGAGGGTGGCTGGGTGAGCGAGCAGCCGAGAGAAATCAGCCTGAGAATGTCAAGCTAGGCCTTTCCAGTATAACCGGACAGGCACTTTTCGTTTCTTCTTTTAGAGGCAGAATCTGGCTTTGCTGCCGAAGAAAAAAATCAGAACCTTCTAATAGCATCTCATTTGATGGAGGTATTGATGTGAGAGTTAAACACGCTCTCATTTACTAGGTGCGATTGTGACAGAGAAGGTGGTACAAGGGTAGGGGAAAGGACAGCAGCGACGCCTCCACAAAATAAAGCTTTGAAACCAACAACTGCCTATTTCAGAACAATTCCCAAACAAAAACAAGCTGCGGATAGGATAGGCATTGTGCCCAGTCTGATCGCCGATGGGTCCTTTCCCACTAAGAATTTTATGTCCTGTCTTTTGGATGCTGCTCTCTCAGACTGAATCTGAGGGTAAAGTTCTATTTATAGGACAGTGTATAATTTCTGAATTGCCTAAAATTAGCATATTAACGATAATAGTAGCTCTGGAAAGGGGAGAGAGGACTGTTGCCTGCCATTTGGTAATTGAAATTTGATGGGTAAAC